TATTTCTTTGGACACCAGGGAGTCTGTGACAAATGTAACGACTCCGCCATGTGCCCGGAGGCCATCATCACTGTCTAGCCTATAGCAGCAAAAGCCACGAAGAGAGAGGGAATGCTCAGGAAGAAGTGTTTCCTGCTGGCAGATAACAACGGGTCTATACAGAGACATTGTCGGCTTTAATTCGACTAAACGAGTGCGAAAGCCATTCGGGTTCCACGAGAGGAGAGCCATAACTTTTAGATATTAATTTGCTTTGCTTCTAAGGAGATTTTTTCTTCCCCGTTTTCGTTTATGCCTCTGTTGCTCGAAGGAACGACTGTCCACCCCAACTGAAGTTTCCTCCGAGGCAGATTCCTCCTGAGCACTGCTCAACGGGCTAAGAGATCGCTCAAAGCGAGTCTCAGGAGTCGGGGTACGTGATTGGAGTTTGGAGAAATCATCTTTTTATGTTTGTCTGGGCCAGAAGGCCGAGTGACATCGGCCTTCATGCGGGGCTGAGAAGTGGATTCTAGGTCTGAGTTCGTCTGTGTGGTTTTCTGGGACAATTTGTATTTGGAGAGAATTATTATCTTCCCACCTTGCAGAAGCGATGTCTCCTCGGGGAAATCCACTGGAGATACCTGGCAACAGAAATGGGCAACTGGGGGAGTAGCAAGTGAGGTCTGACAACTCGCTCGTCGCTTTTGTCGTCTTGGTCAGAGTACTAGAAAATGAACTCCTGAAATCTATAGAGTTCTTCACTAAGTATTGGCGTTTCGCCTCAGGAAAAGATACTTTCTCCGTTACTCTGATCTTTTGGATCTCCCTCTCCCTCAGATATGTAGGGTACCTGTTCGAGTTGGCCGCATGGTCTCCTTCACAGGTAAATGTTGCATACTACTTTGCGTGTAGGAAATGTTGCAATTCAAGGTCGAAAAGCCGAGTGGCGAAATCCTACGAAGAAAATAAAAATCACTTTTACCACGTGTGTCAAACTCTTTTTGAGACAGCCTTTTTGATTTTCATTATATTTTAATTCAAACATATAAATCAAATCTATGTTGAATTAAGGTCAGTTGTAGCTCGTGCGATCAGACGGAAGTATTTTGTTTTCACTGTAATATTCACATTTTTATCTCAATATGTCTCGCATTTATCGCTGGTGCTAAAACTTTAACTTCTGCACGCTTTTCTTACACTAAAAGTAACTTTTTGGAGGGGATGAATAAAAAATATTTTCACTTGTGTAATAAACACGGCATTTCATGTGGTGCAAAACCCCTGAATGACAATTCCGCAAAATAATAAAGAACATTTTTCTTCATTTTATTTTTTATTTAAATGCTTTGAATTATCCCTTTAATTGTTGAGTCATATAATTTTAAAAAATAAAATGTATTGAGATGCATGGCAATCTACTTCACTTGAAGTAAAGTGAACGAGGAGCGGTGACTGGCGAACTACGGGAGCGATCACGGATATCTGAGCTGAGATGTACGACGAACGAGAGCTACCAAAGGTCTCCGAACTACGTGAACGACGACCGGCGAACTACGAACGGTGATTGATGGCCAGCGAACTACAAAGGATGATCAGTAACAGATGAACGATCGTTCACTAAATGCTCGTACCATTCCTTATCGAGAATAGTTCAATTGAACTTGTTCGTTCGCGATCGACACATCCCTAGCTATTCAGCCACGCATATTCGTAAAATGTTTTGGCTTATCATGACTCACAACCGTGTAATTATATAAAAAATAAATTTATAAACCAAAGCACTGAACCACGGAATGTTCTCGATCACAGCTCGCCACCTTACTGCACAGGAGCAGGAAACACGTGCACCAGTACGCATCTGGCATTGAAGACTCGGTTTTCAAATAACCATAATACTTATCACACAAAAAACAAATTAATTGTAATGTCTATAAAACAGAACTTTTATAAAAGAGCAGAGAAGCACTGCATTTCCTAATTTCAATTATTTCTCGCGGCGAACTATATTTTCGTCGGACGAGGACATCACAAAAGGGAAGCGTCGAAGCCATTTTCAAGTTAGCCAACTGCAAAAGAACGAATGAAGGAAGGGGAGTAAACTGGGCGAAATGACACAACGACCACACTACCATCAGTTATATTGCCAGCACTAGCTGTAAAAACGGTCCTTTCTTGTAAAAATTACTCTATATGTTGATTTAGGGAGGTTGGATAATATGAAATCTATTAAAGGTAGAAGTTTCCAAAGAGGAACCAGACTTTTCGGAGGTTTCAAAGGGGCAGGAAGTTATGGGTTAAGCTCCTTCAGCAACGTGTAAAAACTGATACCAGGTGGTTTAGGTAAAGATGATCTCAGTAAAAATGATGTTTGATGGCCTGAGAACAAAAATGCTTTTTTGTTTCAGATGAGACACGGCATCCCCGCGGGCGTCTTCAAAGGCCCCTCACAGGCAGCGTCGCGCACAGACGGATCTTTAGGGGTGTGGGTTCGAAATTTGACGCAACCTAAGTTAGGTTGGCCTACGATGGTAGAGAAAATTCGAACAGTACTGACAGAGTTACACATTAGGTAATGACGTGCCTTAAGTTGGTCTATTCAACTCTTTGTATAAAAAAAAAAAAAAAAAAAAAAAAAAAAAAAAAAAAACTTAATTGACAGTTTCACATACTACTTCCTTATAGAAAAGGGCTGGGGGGAAGAGGTTTGCTATCCATGGAGAGGATAACAAATTCATCCCTGTGGTCCCCACCCACCATGCCTAACAAGGGGACACTCCATCGAAGTGCCAAAGTTGCCATGGAGGAATGACAGCGGTGCCTTGGCATAGCTCCCCCCGATCTCACTGGAGTTGAGTCAGAGACAGCCCGAGCAAATAGATCAGGAGTGGGTTATCTCCTCACCACCTGTCTAGAAGAGTCAGAGGCCATAATAAGTGTATCCTCCAGGGAATGTTCCCCAAAATACATAAGTAATATATCCCTAGGTGCAAAGCTGCATTGTAGCACAAGATAGAAGTTGGGAAACAGACAGACCCTTCAATTGCCAGGACACACATTCCCTTCAACACGGGCTGCCATGCACAGCAAACACATGGGTGGGGCCAGCAAAATAGAAGGGGAAGAAGAAAAGAGACAGGATGTTGTAAAAGAATGAGAATGAACGATGCGGGAAAAGAAAGATGTCTGGTGAAAGAAAGAAATATTTGTGAGCCCAGACTGCATAAAAGCAAATTTGAAAAACACTTTTTTAGTATTAGAAACTCCCAAACTGTTCTATCAAAATCTTGAGATTGATTTGTTGCTGAATTACATTTTTTTCTTTCCAAGAATATAAAAGAAAGTATGAATTTATTTGCAAGCATTTGCATTAAAAGCAAGTATGTATTTCATATTTTCCACTTTCTCTGCATGGTAACAAAAAACAAACAGTGTAAGATTGGGAGAAGCAATAACAGACATTAAGTTTTATTGAGTTCTAAATGATCTCAGTATTATCAATATATGAAAATACTTTATTTCACAACACAAAACTTTTTTAATTTATTTTTTAACAAATTATTTAATCACTTTAAAGAGGTGGTCATTAGACAATGGGAACACTGCCATACAATTCGGAATTGGTCATTTGCATCTCCATTCTGTTAATTTTTAAAATTGCTTTTAGTCAGTTGTACACGAATAATGATTTTTGCTAGTCTGACATCACTTCAATTATAAAGTGAGATCATCACTTAAATTATAAACTGATGCATATATAGTATAAACTGGTGGTAATTATAATGCAATTGAAATTATGATAAAAACATATAATAAATGTCAAGGTAAAATTGAGACAACATTATTGGGCAAAATGCAGAAGGTATGGAAAGCAAAGAAAGAAATACAATGAAACATCAGGCAAAGAACATATTGAAACTAAACATATGCTTACATGAAGAAAATGTAACAGAAAAGATACTAAAAAGCTGTTACTGTTTATAATGGAGGTAAAAAATGTTGAGAAACATTTGTTTGCCAATACAGCATTTCTCATAAATAGGCAGAGACAATTTGAATTCATCACATTGCGTAGAACATTTTGACACAATAAGTTTGTAATAAGTTAGTAACTTTTGTATACATTTTAAGACTTTTAAGAATTTGATTTGTATAAAAAACAGCAACTAATAAAGTCCAAAAATCGAGTAAAAATTAAATCAAGAATACATTTAGACAAACTAATAAGAACAATTCAATGTCAACTACGAAACTAGTTGAAGTTTGCCTAAGCTGTGATTTATTATTACATATTAGTAGGCACTGACAAACCTGATATTTCTTTAACGGTTAAATAACTAATTAACACAAACTTTAAAGAAAAAAATAGTCAGATATATTCCATCTGATTCTCTTTGAGTTAAAATTAGCTTGTCCTCTAGAGATATAATATTTAATTTTACTTGGGTAAATAAAAGATCGTCATTACCTTTATTTCTCATTGCATCTGAACGAGTAATTGCTCAAACTATTTCCATTATCATAAAAATGTATTTACCCAGGGACAATTCCTCCTTTACCTTTCTCGTGTCTTTAACATTTCTTTTTGGCTAAGTTTCTTTCTGAATTCAAGTGTTGTAAAGCCTTTTCTATATCTTTCCTTCTCAAGTGCTATTTTGAGTATGTACTTTATATATTCATATAGTATATAACTACTAGTGAAAATAAAGCCTCATTGTAAAAAATAATACCAATTTAGGGACTTAGTTAATAAACGGATCATCTAATACCACTGAACAATAAATTACCTAATAGTAATGGAGAATTTCTAGACAGTGACACAAAGAAACAGGTTGGGAAGACAATAAACTATTCCCCCTGAACATCAACCAGCGTAAAATCTCCCTGAGAATGATGCATGCTGTTAGAATTCTATTGTCTTTAAATAGAAAATAAACCAACTTTTTGAAGAAGAAAAAATACACAAGGTAAACAATGTATTCTAATACAAAATAAAAATTATTATGTACTCAAGTAAGTCTTACTGGAGTTTGCTCGGTTCCCATGGATTTCTGAGGTTTCTGGGCAGTACTGACCAAACTAGTGGGACGACTCGCACTGTAATCACCACCTGACGAACAATGCTCTTCATCTTGGTTATCTTGGATGGTTGCTACATTAAAAAAATCTAACTGAGGAGGAAGAATTGGTGTACCTAAAACAAGAGATAAACAGTTTTAGTATCTCTCTTTTTCTTATAATTTTAATATAGAAAGAACAATATGCTTATTCATGAAAGTAATTTACTTTCACTTTATATACAGACATACACTCCTCTGTTTCAAAGAACTCCAGATTATATAGTATTATCTTGAACAATGATTTTAAATTAAAAACATATAGAACTACTTAACATAGTATTCAATGAGTTATTTTACATACATTTAAAACTAAACACTATGACATTCTTCACTACGTCTGCATTCTCTACATTCCATTACTGAAAATTTTTGTTGTAATTTGCAATTTCCATTTCCGTATCAAATTGTATCTAATTAAGAAATCTGTGCATTTCATAAAAAAATTATTTTCTACAAGTAAAATTATTTTATCGAAAGAAAATTATGAAAAAGTGACTGAGAAATAATATCAGAGGTCTGCAAAGATTAGTGGCACAAAATATTTTACGCTATTTATATCATAACAAATGCCCTAATTCAGAAAATAATATTTGCCCTGCTGTATCATGAATAGATTGAGCCTTACATTCATTTGACACAAACAGTTTTGCTACCTTGCATTGAAAAAGGTTGAAAGGAGACCCACAAAAGTGAACTCTTTCCCTGTATTATAACTCCACTATACTATGTAGCATGGTATTCATTATGATGGCAACCTCCAAAAAAACGGGCTCCAGCCCTTATCTTCCATTGTATATAAACAATCCTACTCTGGACCAGCTCTGCATTGGCCTTCCCAGTGACTCGGTATACAACAGTAGGCACCAATTGACTGACTTGTTGCTTGTGTCAGGTCTCCCATTTTAAATGTGTATTGTGTAATTGTAATTTTTCTTTCTGAAAAATATTACATGTGAATGGTATTTCATGAATAAACTGTGTGAACAATCCAAATTGTTTTTCTCACATATGTGGAAGTTGTGTGATTAAAAAGCAGAAAAGAAATGTTACTCCAATGATCAAAAGTTTGTATCTGGACTAGTTTAATGTTAAATTAAGACAAAACTTACACTCCACATGGCGTTTGTAATAATTAATTACAAAGATTCAACAGAGGTCATTCATCTATAGTGTTTGGTTTGAAAGACAATTATGTTATAATGATTCATATTTTTATCCGAGTAAAGTATTTGGATTAAATAAAGAAACCTTAAAGCCATCTTATGTTCAAATCTGCCATCAGCAATGAGATGCATTGGCATAGATCTGGTGTTTCAAATCCAGTACCACCAACAGCACTACCAGTTCATCCTCCGCTTTGGCTAAAGCAAATTATCTAAATATCATGGAAGAGAAGGGAGGATTCACTATATTAACATGTTTTTTATGTGAGTGGATGTCCAAACAAGAGAAGGATGCTGGGAAATTATAGTTTGACTGAAAAGAATACTCTGATGTGTCAGGGTCAAAAATGTAATAAATTACCCACTAATCGACTTGCAGAAAATTGTTCTACCCCACTTGCATATCAAACTCAGAATAACATAGCAATTTGTTAAAGCCTTGTACAAACTGTCACTTCTTTTGAATAAATCCAAAAATGACCACTGCTGTGAAAAAGAAAAGAAAAAGAACACATTTTGGAAGATCCAAATATTTGCCAATTAAGGGTGCTGGCTTTAGAAAAAAATGATGGGCATAGAACTTTCACCTTGGGACTCGTTCAGGGATATTCTAAGCAATGTTACAGATGATTGATAAAAACATATTGTCAGAAAGATGCTTGAAAAATTCAAGAGATGCACATGTGTTCAATACTTTGCAGAAAACTTAGAACCATTAAATGAGCAAGAATAACTGTTTCATCAGAATATAAATAAACAGAAATTAGATACCAAGGTCGATGGGATACCTCAGTGACAGCTGACTACTGTGTTTAATACAAGAAAACCCTCGCCTGGACCATAAACGTCTATCAACACAGCATTCATTTTTAACAAACCAGAGGATAATAAATTTGATATTTCACCATTTATTTAAAACTACTGTATCAAAACTATTAATATTTTGTCACATTTTAGTGTTTTATCCAATGTGAAATTCAGTTACTAACAAGAAATCAATAAAATACCGAATTATACTTTTCTGCATGGAACAAAAATTGTACATGTTACACAAAATTGGTTCAAAATTTCAATTCACCACAATTAGGTTTAGAAACATGTTCAAATCTGAGCTACAGAACAAATTATTATTTTTCAAGCCTGAAGATTGATTTTGCTGAGATGACATCATCATAACAACTAGTTGGAAGATTAAAACAATAATTTCATAAAACTAGACAGAGAAACAGGAGACAGAGTAACGTCCTACATAACATGTTAATATTTAATATATTATAAAACATATTAATGATATAAATAGACTATTTTGTTATTAACCGATTGCAAATTCACAAAACTATTTAAAATTGACAAGAAATTAGTAAAACCCTCCATTCCTTTGTTTTATTTTTTGTTGGTTCAGCAGCATGAAAGTCTGCATTAAAAACATTCGTACACTCTCTTAGAACACACTACCCCGCGTTTTATGAATTAAAAACATATACACTGAAAACATTGAACACAAAGGGCATGTTCTTAAAATATCACAACCCTAGAGGCTAATACATATCATTATTAAGAGTTCCCAGAAACATCACTGACAAACACACACTCACACATTTCACGAAGAAAATAAATACAGAACAAATTAATTAAGAATTATTGGAGTTTTGGAAATTCACCCTGAGGTTTCTACACTCTGATTTAATTTGAGTGATTTCTGACAATTGATCAGCTGAGCAAGGTAATCAAATCAGAAGCTTCATACGATTCAATTTTTGATATTGAAGCTCTCCTTTGGATAACAATGTTCCAGCTGATCAAACTTCAGAAGTCACTACAGTAAATTGGAGAATAGCAAAAGCATGGACACACTGATCGAACTACAAGATTTACTATATCATATACAAATTGTACATTTTCCAGTCACAGATAAAAGTATTCGGAAACTGCTAATTCATATTACAAGTTCATTGAAAGATCAGACAAATGGTGAAAATAATACTTGAAACAAATACAATTAGACTTACGACAGATCTTGCATCTCCAACATTATAACAATGAATTCTAGTACAAGTGGGATAAATATTAATGGTATGGAATCCTCAAATTCAACAAAAAGAAACAAAGCAAAAAATTACGCTGTACTATTTGTGTAGGAATAGCATATAGTTTTATAAAAATTCTCAACATTTTCTCTGACTTTTTCAGGGCAGTGAAATTCTCTGATTTTTTTCACATTTTCCAGAAAGTGACCACCCTGACCAATCTAGATTATGGATTCTTTTCACCAGAAGCTCCCCTCCTATCTCAGTGTTACGTCACATGATAACAAAACAGTGAGAATCCATGCCAGTTATTGCACAAACTATGTAGGCAATGAGAATGATAACAAACCTGAAGTTCTTATAAGTACAACTTTCCCAAAGTAATGAACATGATCACAATTTTTAGTTCTAGAAAGTACACATTGTGTTTCATAATGCTTCAATTTTTTAGTACATTTGGAAATTGAGAGATATCGCCAGTTATTTAAAACACAAGAAAATTGAAACAAACAATGAAAATAACAATTGCTTCCTAATAAGGAGTTAATTACTCTAAACCAAACAGGAAACATTGAATGTAAAGGTACGCAATTTGTAAGAAAAAATACTAAAATCTTACCCCTAAAACATAGGAAAGTTAGGAAGTCTTCGGTCTTAGGACGCTTTGATGAAATTAGCTCTGGTGATAAAACAGCTCCATTTGTTTTGACTTTGTCTTTATCTTTCACAGGAGTCAATGCAGGACTGCTCACATTGGAAGAGCCTTGGGCAAACTTTCTTTGTGCATGCACCTTTGTCCTAGAAATACAATAAAATAAACTATGACAATTTAAACTCAATGACAAATACACTAGTTCCCATCAGAAATTTACCTTTTTGGACTTCCCTGAAGGGAATCCTCCAGGGTGTCTCCTTCTTTCCGCCTCTTCTTTGCGTCACTTCGACTAATAACCATATCTCCTAAAAATGAAATGCCCTTCAATACACCACAATAAAAAGGAAATAATCATAATCACTGTTCCAAGAAATAAAGCATGCATTTTCATACAAATTACACACAATGAAAGCACCTAAGCCCACAGTTCACTTCGTCAATTTGTCACTTTCAAGCCACCCTTGTCACATTAATTTCCAAACGATCACTCAATACATTACATACCTAATACAAGGGAGTTTCCATGTAATTAAATGTTTCGTGTAATTGACAAAAATGCGGCATACATATTACACAATTAGGGCACATTGAAACAAATGTATATTTAATAGGCGTACACATGCACTCACACACTAGGAACAATCATTAAACAAATGTAGTATAACAATTAACGCGGAAGTGCACGCAACCAAACAAGTAGTTTTATCACTATGTATGTCTTAATAATAAATCACGAAATTATAAATAAATGAAAATCAAATTCATATCATCCGCTCCGTTTTCGACTAATACCCCCAGGCACCACATCCCAATCATACAAAATTTTCTTAAAACGTAACCTACCATTGAATAATGACACAAGGGAGTTCAATCACCTAGGGCTTCCCTGATCTATTGGCACAACAAAACACGCATTCTTTAGCACACGGTTCTTTAGCACACCGTATTACACGTAATACTGCTCAGTTTATTTTATAGGATTTTTTTCTGAGACGGGGCGTACATAAACATTTTCATTTAAGTCCTCAAAATCCCCAAGTAAATCACTTTTCATTCAGATATATCAGACATGCTTAAACTTACACATTAGTTCAAGGCCAAAAAACGCCACAATCAGCAGAGAGCAAAAGCACAACGTCAGATACTACCGCTAGGGTCGCTCTCACAAGGAATTCTGACGAATCCCTTAACAGAGTACCCAAGACCTACAGTATTCACTCAGTATAATTTCTAGACCTAGGGCCCCTAAGCAATCGAGTGATTGAGGTCCCTCCTTTTTAAGAATTGAACGACAACAAAAAAATACACCCTGGAAATCTGAGGTAGAATGTGTCTATTCGCGAGCGTGAGGCGAATTCGCTCCCTCACTTCATACCGCCAGGACTTGGCACAAGTAATGGTATTATTTTTGTTTATAATTCGGTTTCATAATTTCCACATATAGTCGGCACCGATTATAGTGAACTTCTGGGGACTAACATTTTTGGTTCATTACATCAGAGGTTTAGTATATCCGATGACAGTGCCGTCGTGCAATGGCTTGCCGACCTGGTGCAAGTACATTTTGCCGTTTTCAAAAGGAATACTTTAATTATATACTTTTAATAATAGAAAAGTTTAGTTGTTTAAGTTAGTATTTACTGGAGTGCTATTAAAGGTGTATTAAATATTAAATAATATCTATGTAATACAAGATACTTTTTACAAGGTATACAAGGTACTTTTCGAACTTTCAGACTAGCAATTTTTAATGATACTCTCTAAATAAATATTGTTGCAGATTCCACTTTCAGTTGATATGCCAGATCTGTTGACATTTCTTGTGACATAGTTCATCGTAGGATGTTTTTGCACTTTTTTTAGTTTGAAAATGATCTCTCTCCAGTGGCTACTGTAACTAGCAAAGTGTAACAATTTGTAATATCAGGGTAATATTATGGAATGACTCGGTTAGTTTATTTTGATATATCAATTCTAAAACTTCAAATGGTGATGGTTTTGATTTGAAAAATTTCGTGATTTTATTTATACTTCATCTGTATGTTCTATTGCTTTTATATCTTTTGGACTATCTGTACCAGTACCATCGGTCAGTTCAAATTATACATCCATACTTTTTTTAAATATGACTGATTTACTAATTTCGGTTAGTTTGTAGAAGTCATACAAAATTAAACGCATCTCTTTGCTCTTTAAGCACTTGAAATATTTCCTCTGTAGATGAAACTAGTATCAATAATAGTCGTCTACGCGGTAATACGGTATGCGGAAACTGTCTTTTGGATCAATTGTACTGTCATCGTCATGTTCATAACCTATCATAGTTTTCTTTTTTCGCCTGCGTGTTGGTGAGGGAAATCTGTATGTACATCACGTGAATTATCAATTTCAATTGCAGTGCTTGGCATTTCATCGAAATTATTGCGACGTCTGAATGTTTGCGTGAAGGTGACAAGATCGGTTTTAGAAACCCTGAGACTCCTGGCGGATTCGAAAAATGACCCTCCCCTCTTGTTACTGGCATATATATATTTATGAAATATATATATATATATATATATATATA